AGGTGGCAGTGATGCCAGAAGCAGGTATTTGAGGAGAGAGGTCTGAGCAGGTGGTGGCAGCTGGAGGTGAGCGACCTCCTTGCCTGTGAGAGCAGCTGCAGGGCAAAGAATGCATTCTGCTGGGACAGGAGGGGCTGGAACCCACAGGGTTGGGGAGCAGGCCTGGTTTTTGCATAATTCTTTTTTTAAGTTGTAGTGAAATAGTAAAATTTGCCATTCTAACCATTTTTTAAATGTACAATTCAGAGGTATTAGGTCCATTCAGTGTTGTGCAGCTATCACCCCATCTACTCTAGAACTTTTTTTTTTTTTTTTTTGAGACGGAGTCTCGCTCTGTCACCCAGCCTGGAGTCCAGTGGCGCGATCTTGGTTCACTGCAAGCTCCGCCTCCCGGGTTTACGCCATTCTCCTGCCTCAGCCTTCCTTCTGCTCACTGCTCGGGCCTCGTGATCCGGCCGTCTCGGCCTCCCAAAGTGCTGGGATTACAGGCTTGAACCACCGCGCCTGGCCAACTCTAGAACTTCTATATCACCCCATAGGGAAACTACCCATTATACAGTAACTCCCCATTCTCCCCAACTGCAGCCCTTGGCAGCCCCCATCCCACTTTCTCTATGAATTTGCCTATTGTAGGGACCTCACAGAAGTGGAATCAGTTTGTCCTCCTGTGTCTGGTGTATTTCACTCAGCATAATGTCCTCAAGGTCCATCTGTGTTGCAGCATGTGTCAGAATTTCACTCTTTTTAAAGGCTGAGTCATACCCCTGGTGTGGATACACCACATTTTCTTCATCTATTCGTCTGTGGCCGGACACTTGGGTGGTTTCCACCCTTTGGATGTTGTGAATGTGGGTGTGCAAGTGTCTGTCTTGAGTCCCTGCTTTCAGTTCTGGGCATAACCTAGGGCTAGAATTGCTGGATCATGTGGTAGTCTGACTCTATTGCCCAGGTTGGAGTGCAGTAGCGCGATCTTGACTCACTGAAACCTCTGCCTCTCGGATTCAAGCAATTCTCCTGCCTCAGCCTCTCGAGTAGCTGGCACCCACCTCCACACCCGGCCAATTTTTTTGTATTTTTTAGTAGATGCGGGGTTTCACTGTGTTGCCCAGGCTGGTTTTGAACTCCTGAGCTCAGGCAGTGTGCCCGCCTTGGCCTCCCAAAGTGATAGGGTTACAGGCGGGAGCCACCACACCCAGCTTCGTATGGTAACTTCTGTGTTTAACTTTTTGAGGAATCACTAAACTGTTTCTACTGCAGCTGTAACATTTTACATTCACACTAGCAACACACAAGGGTTCCAGTTTCTTCACCTCCTTACCAGCACTCCTTTTCATTTTTTTGATAAAAGCCACCCTAATGGGTGTGAAGTGGTACCTTAGTTTGCATTTCTGTAATTTAGTGATGTGGAGCACCTTTTCATGTGCTGCCTGACCATTCGTGTATCTTCTATTGGAGAATGGCTGAGTCCTTTGCACATTTTTAAAAATTTTTTAAAACTTGGGGTAAATTGACTGGGCGCAGTGGCTCACACCTGTAGTCCCAGCACTTTGGGAGGCTGAGGCAGGTGGATCACAATGTCAGGAGATGGAGACCATGCTGGCTAACATAGTGAAACCCCGTCCCTACTAAAAAATACAAAAAAATTAGCCAGGCGTAGTGGCAGGCGCCTGTAGTCCCAGCTACTCGGGAGGCTGAGGCAGGAGAATGGCGTCAACCTGGGAGGTGGAGCTTGCAGTGAGTCGAGATCACGCCACTGTACTCCAGACTGGGCAACAGAGCGAGACTGTCTGAAAAAAAAAAAAAAAATTGTGGTAAATAATGCTTGTAATCCCAGCACCTTGGGAGGCCAAGGCAGGTGGATCATGAGGTCAGGAGTTCGAGACCAGCCTGACCAACATGGTGAAACCCCATCTATACTAAAAATACAAAAATATTAGCCGGACGTGGTGGCACGTGCCTGTAATCTCAGGAGGCTGAGGCAGGAGAATTGCTTGAAACCAGGAGGTGGAGGTTACAGTGGGCCAAGATTGCCCCACTGCACTATAGCCTGGGCAACGGTGAGACTCAGTCTCAAAAAAAAAAAAAAAAAAAAGTGGTAAAATACACCTAAAATTTACTTTTTTTTGTTGTTTTTTGGTAAAGACAGGGTCTTGCATTGTTGCCTAGGCTGAGCTCAAACTTCTGGCTTGAAGCCAATCCTCCTGTCCCGGCCTTCCAAAGTGCTGGCATGACAGGTGTGACATTTTACTGTTGTGAATGATGCTCTTCTCAACACCTGTGTACAAACATCTGAGACTCTGCTTCCAATTCTTTTGGGTATATGCCCTGCAGTGGAATTGCTAGATCATATGGTAATTCTTTTTTTTTTGGAGATGGAGTTTTGCTTTTGTTGCCCAGGCTGGAGTGCAGTGGCACGATCTCGGCCCACTGCAACCTCTGCCTTCCGGTTTCAAGCGATTCTCCTGTGTTAGCCTCCTGAGTAGCTGGGATTACAGGCGCCTGCCACCACACTGTATTTTTAGTAGAGATGGGGTGTCACCATGTTGGCCAAGCTGGTGTCGAACTCCCAACCTTGTGATCTGCCCACCTCAGCCTCCCAAAGTGCTGGGATTATAGGCGTGAGCCACCGCACCTGGCCAGTAATTCTATTTTTAAATGTTGGAGGAACCTCCATACTATTTTGCATAGCAGCTGCACCATTTTGCATTTCTATCACAGGGCACAAGGGCTCCAGTTTCTCTGTATCCTCACCGGCACTTTCTTTAAAAATTTAATTTTACAGTAGCCACTCCAGTGGGTTTGAGATGTATCTCACTGCGTGGTCTCCCTCATGACTAGTGATATTGAGCTCTTTTCATGTGCTGCTGGCCATTTGTATATAATTGGAGAAATGTCTGTTCAAATCCTTTACCCATTCTTGAGTCAAGTTTGGTTTTTTTGTTGTTGAGTTTTAGAAGTTCTCTGTGTATTCTAGATATCACTTCTTTATCAAATACATGATTTGCAAATATTAAGAGTTTTATAGTCTTAGCTCTTACATTTAAGTCTTTGATCCATTTTATTTTTGTAAATTGTGTGAGGTTAGGGTCCACCTTCATTCTTTCGCATGTAGATATACAGGCTTGGTTTCTGATATCCACTTACTGTCTTGATTGGCAGAAATTTCAGCAGATTTCAAGGAGCCGCCGTCCCTGCCAGTGAAGGAGAAGCCATCCCCGAAGACAGCCTGTGGGTCCCCCCTGGCAGCACAGCCATCACCCTCTGCTGAGCTCCCCCAGGCTGCCCCACCTCCGCCGGGCTCACCCTCCCTCCCTGGGCGCCTGGAGGACTTCCTGGAGAGCAGCACGGGGCTGCCCCTGCTGACCAGTGGGCATGAGGGGCCAGAGCCCCTTTCCCTCATTGATGACCTCCATAGCCAGATGCTGAGCAGCACTGCCATCCTGGACCACCCCCCGTCACCCATGGACACCTCGGAATTGCACTTTGCTCCTGAGCCCAGCAGCACCATGGGCCTGGACCTGGCTGATGGCCACCTGGACAGCATGGACTGGCTGGAGCTGTCGTCAGGTGGTCCTGTGCTGAGCCTGGCCCCCCTCAGCACCACAGCCCCCAGCCTCTTCTCCACAGACTTCCTTGATGGCCATGATTTGCAGCTGCACTGGGATTCCTGCTTGTAGCTCTCTGGCTTGAGACTGGGGTGGGGACGGGGCTGGGAGCCAGGGCACTCCGGTGCGTGGCTCTCCTGCGTGATTCGGCCTCTCCACATGGTTGTGAGTCTTGACAATCACAGCCCCTGCTTTTTCCCTTCCCTGGGAGGCCAGAACAGAGAAGCCCCTACTCCTGGTTCGGGCCCACCCAGGGCAGAGGAGAGCAGCTGTCAAGAAGCAGCCCTGGCTCTCACGCTGGGGTTTTGGATACCCAGTCAGGGCCAGGGCCATTTCAGCTTGACCTCCTTTTTTGAGGTCAGGGGCACTGTCTGGCTACAATTTGGCTAAGGTAGGTGAAGCCCAGCCAAAGCCCAGCCAGGAGGCTTCTCCTCTGACCCAGGGCTGAGACATGTCAGGGGGTGAATCTCCTTTTTGCTCCCTGCTTTGCTGTGAAGGGATAAATTAGCCTGGGCCTCTACCCCCTAGTCCCCATGTCTGCCAACCCCAGGGCTTCCTGGGATGGGGCTCCCTGCCATTTTAGTGTCTTGGTGTAGTGTAACCATTTAGTGGTTGGTGGCAACAATTTTCTGTACAGGTGTATATACCTCTATATTATATATCGACATACATATAGACATATATTTTTGGGGGGGGACAGGAGATGGGTGCAACTCCCTCCCATCCTACTCTCACAGAAGGGCCTGGAAGGCCATGGCTCCTAGGGACTGGATGCAAGGTTACCCTTGAGCTATGTGCCACCGTCTGGTGCCCAGTCTGGCATGCAGCTACCCAGGCCCACCCATCACGTGTGATTGACATGTAGACACCCTGCCACGGCCTGTGCCCCACCTGCCCTGCTTCCTGGTTCCTTATCAGTGCCACGAGGGCAGAGGTGCTACCTGGCCTTCCTGCCAGGAGCTCTCCACCCACTCACATTCCATCCCCGCCGCCTCACTGCAGCCAGCGTGACCCCTAGGACAGGAGGGAATTGGGCCCAGCTTCACCCTGCTGTGGGGCTGAGAGATGGCCATGAGGTTGTGGCTGTCTCCTGCCCTGGGGCCACTGGCTTCACACTCTGGCCTGACTCATAGGGGAGTAGGGGTGGAGTCACCAAAACCAGTGCTGGGACAAAGATGGGGAAGGTGTGTGAACTTTTTAAAATAAAAACAAAAACACAGGCCTGTTAGTGCATCTTAATCCATGGAAGGGGTGGGTGGCATAGGTGGGGGTCCTGGGCCTGTTGTGTCCCAGCATCTGAGGGGGCCAGGCAGTGCCTTCTAGACCAGTCAAGGAAGGGCAGAGCCTTGGACATGAAGACAGCTCTGCAGCCCTGGCTGTACAGAAGACAGGAGGTACGTTCTCAAAGACAGTTTATTTATAAACCAAGGAGGACAGGAGCCTATTAGTCACCCCCATCCCCTTCCCTCTTCCCTCTTCCTGAGCAAAGACTGGCACAGACATGGCTCCCCACCGCCTCACAAGGCTTTTGGTACAAACTGGTTTGGCCCAGAGCATCTCTAAGGACCCTGGTAGGGCAGGGCACCCTCTGCTGCCACCACCTGGGATGTGCTGGGGAACCTGGAGTGGGGCAGCCTGATATCCCGGGGCCCCGGCCAGGGCTCTGGAGCTGCTCTTCCCTGGGCTCTGCAGCTTGGGGTCCTGGGCCACCTCAGACCCAGGCCCAAGGCTGGGCTGGGGAGGAGGGGTCACCCATCCACATCCCAGCTGAAGAGATGGTGCTTCACCAGCATGTCCCGGACGCCCTCCTTCAGGGGCTGCTGCGCCTGCAAACAGGGCAGCCCCTCACCTCACAGGCCTTGGGCGTGGCTGGGGTGGTTCCTAACCACTGACACCAGCACTCTGTGTCCCCACCTCAGCCACCCTGTGAACGGTTTGGGCAGCTCCATCAGCACAGGCCTTACAAGGCCCACACCACCCACCTCTCTCTTCGCAGGGAGTTCCCAGTCCTGGGAGAGGCTGAAGGCAAAGCAGCAGAGGACTCTAGAGGTGAGGAGGGGGTTGGTGAGGCTCTTGTCACCCCCAGCCAGCCCTTCCTGACCCACCTCCATTCCCCGAACCCAGCAAGGTCCTCACCGGAGCTCACACTTGATCTGGACCCAGCCCGGGCTGCGCAGGAAGGACCAGGGCTGGTACCACTTCTCCACGGTGGGCAGGCTGGAGCAGAGCACCTCCAGCCACAGGTGCAGCACCTGCTCACTGGGGACACGGCCAGGAGTGGGGAGCAGGGGCGGCTCCAGGCCCTTCTGGCTGCAGCCATGGTAGAGGCCTCCAGCCTGTCCCTCAGCAGCTCCCAGACCACCCTCTTCAGGGAAGGACCTGAGCCCCTGAGGTTCTTTGTCCCTGAGGGTCCCCTGTAAGGACCCTCCTGATGCTGGGCTGGGTCCCCCCTACTCCAGCGTTCTCCTCCAACCCCTTTTCCACACTCACTTGAGCCCCACGCAGATCAGTGAGCGGAGCTTCACGTCCATTTGTGCGTGCACTGCATCATGGCTCACGTTCACGGACTGCACAGCCTGGGGACGGCACCATCCGCTGTCACTCAGGCTCCCCCACGGGCTAACCTCGAGAGGTCTATAGGGTCTGCCAGAGGAGGCCCCTTACCCGGTAGAGCAGCTCCTCCGGGGTCAGGACTTTGCCATCTTCGTCCAACCTGAGGGGGCACCAAAGCTCCTGGGGTGCCGGGGCTGGGTCAAACCCCGCCCTCCCACTGCAGGCGACTCCACCAGAGGAACCCAGGCCCAGTTACCTGAAGGTCTTACAGAGCACCAGGCGGGAATACACGGAGGCAAAATCTCTCTCGACCTCCCGGCCTGCAGCCTGTGGGAACAGCACACGGTGTGAGTGTAGGGACAGGAAGATGCTGGTTCAAAGCCCTTGGGGCCAACTGGGCACCTGTTACTGCCCTGCCAGCTCTTCCCATCCTCTCCGTGGGGCCCAGGGACAGGAAGGGCCTAAGATGGGTACTGGGGGGCACAGCAGGGCTGGTGCAGGGTGGGAGACATGGGCCAGCCACTGACTTACCTCCTCTATAAACAGCCAGGGGTGGCAGGCGCCCCCAAGCAGGGATGGCTTCTTCAGTCCATGTTCGAACAGGGCCTTAAGGGCCGGGCAGAGGGTCCCTCGCACGAGGTCTGTGACCCCCTCCGTCACTGAGTCGTCCCCCGCGATGGAATACTAATGGGAGGGATGGGTCTGAGAAAGCCCTGCCTGACACCTGCAGCCAGTTGCCCTCCTCTGTCCTCTCTGCCATGCTACAGGCCAGGACTCACTGGGGACACAGGCCCTGGCTAGGAGGATGCCAGCCGTGCCTAGCCCGCCCACCCCCTCACCTCTTTGCTGCGCTCATCCAGGACTTCCACAAACTTGGCTGGAAACCAGCCTGTGGGAAAAATAGGCCCTGTGAGGAGCAGCCACAGCTCAGGCAGGCAGGGCAGGGGGAAGCTGGCCCAGGTGCTTCAGGGACCTCAAGCCAGGCAGGGTAGAGAGAACGGCCTGGCAGCGGCCAGGGTCACTGAAGTCTTCTGTGCCCACCCCCTCCTCCCTCTCCCAGCTCAAGAGCAGACCAAGGCCCCCACCTCGCAGGCCGTTGAGCTCCCCCACCCAGCAGTGCTCGTCCTTCTGAGACACGATCTGCACAGGAGGAAAAACAGTAGGAACCAAAGCTGGGTGCCTGGGGCCAGCGCCGCCTGCACCCCCGAATATGACTCCTCAGCAGCTAGGCCAGGCCAAGACCCCTACATCTTCACAAGAGCAGCTCTTGGCAGGGAAAGGAGTTGGAGTGGGGCTTGGTGGAGGGAGGCTGGGGAACCCGCCCCAGCCTGAGGACCTGTCGTCCAGCGCCCCCACGCACTGTGATGATGTCGTTCTTGCGGAAGCCCAGCTCGTCGTCGTCGTGCCGCTCGAAGTCCAGCAGGGCCTTGGCTCGGCGCCGGTGGCCGCGTGAACATGCCACGTAGTTCTCGTGGTCCCGCTGGTGGCTCTCCATGCTGTAGTCTGGAGTCAGCTCCTGCCACAGTGAACACAGGCCCACCAAGGGGGTTGGAGGAGTTAGGGCCATGTTTGGTACCAGCCCGGGGAGCTGGCCACTCACCACGCTGCAGTTTTTGGGGTCTGTGCACTGGAAGTGACGCGCCACGCGCAGGATGGCTTCCCGGAGGTCAGCCACCAGTTCCGTCTGCTTGATGTTCTTGGCCTTGAGTGCCTCCAGGTCATCCTCCCCTAGGAGGCCCAGAGAGCAATGGTGACCACGGCTCACTCCAGGCCCCCGAGGAAGCTCCACATCCACGTGAGCGTGAGGACAGACTGTTCCATGCCCACACTGCCTGGCACCCGCAGAGCTCTCACCGAAGAGCAGAGCAGTGATGGTGGACTTCCTCCGCTGGGTCCTGCGGCGAACAACCTGCACCATGAGGAGGGGGTCAGGGCGGTCCTGGCCCCCGGAAGAGAACCCACCAGCCCTTGGCTTATGCTCTCTCATCTAAGATGGCCTCTGATGCCGGCTCTGAGAGTTGAAAACAGATAATCAGTTCAGAGCTGGGTCTGCCTTCCTCCCAAACTGTGCCAGGGTCAGAACCTGAGACGCATGAAGCCCGAGGTGGCCTGGGTCACCCCACAGCTGTGGTCTGACTGGGCCAGGCTGGGGTGCAGAGCAGGAAGGGCTGGTTTGTTTCCCATAGCCCCCACACTTGCTCTGAACTTCAAGGTGACCCGTTCCCCACATGCTGTGGGCCAAGTCAGGGCCCCCCATCCTGGGTCACCTGAGAGAGGTTGGTGAGGGTGCCGGTCCCCAGGAGCTGACCCTGGTCTGCAATGAGATAGGCCAGGTGCTTGCGGCGCTGAGTCTCCACAGCCACGTCGGTGAGGGAGCCGGCCAGCCGCATGGCCACCCCCAGAAGCAGCTCCGCGTCCTCCATCTGCGACGGGATATCCGATAGCGTGTTGAAGATGGAGGCTGAGTTCTCTGACTGGATCAGCTCTTCTTCCTGGGCCATGTCAGAGCAGGATGCAGGGAGAAGGTTGTTACTGCAGGAACCTGGCACTGAGCTGACCCCAACCCCCATCCTCAGGGACCCGTTTGCCTTGGCACGGTTGTCAGGGGCCGGGGGACTGGTCTTGCCTGGCCCAGGGAGGTCTCTCACTCCCTGCCCCCCATCTCGGGCTCCTACTCCTCAGCTTGAAGTGGGGCCCTGGAGCACCTTGAGGTGCAGCATGCCCAGCGTGAGCTGGAACAGCACCCGGGAGCCCTCATAGAAAAACAGGTCCCAGATGCGCAGAAGCAGCTTGATGTCCACCACGCTGGCGAAGGCCGTGAGGAACCAGTGCAGTGTGATCAGGGACAGCTCTGTAAACACAGGAGCCGAAGCTGCTGGGGAGGAGGTGGAGGAGGTGGAGGAAACCTCCATCCCCAGAACTGGAGGGAGGTCCTCCCTGCCCAAGAGCGAAGGAGGGGATGGGGCAGGGAACACCGGAGAACAAAAGAGCGACAAAGACCAGAGTTGGGGGCTATGCCCCATCCCCCCTTGGCCATCCGCCTGAGGCCTCCAAGCTGCAGAATGGGAGCCACTGGCTCAGAGGCCCCTTACCAATGTCATGCTCCTGGAGCAGCTTGTCCAGGCGAGGCAGGTACTGGACAATGAGGTGGCGCAGGACCCGCTGGTCAGTCTGGACGCCCAGCAGGGTGGTGCTGAAGTAGGAGGCGGGGAGCAGGTCCTCAATGATGGCGCACATCATCCAGAAGGTGTCCTCCTCCTCCAGGAACAGCAGGAGGCAGGCAGCCACCTGGCCAGGGCATGGGGTTAAGGGCCCTCTACCCAGGTCTTTGTGCAAATTAGAAAAGGTGCCCCTACCCTAGGGAGACCATTTAGCAAAAGCCTCTTGGGGGGCACGCATGCTGGAACACAGGCCTTCCCCGGCTGCTTTCCTTGGCCGGCCTCAGTTTCACACCCTTTGGGGGGCCCCTCTGTCCCCCCACCTCCCCTCCTGCTGCCCCAGAGCGGGAGACCATTCCTTGTTAGGGGTCCTGGAGGAGGCCCTGGGGCTGTCACTGCCCTTGCTGGGGCTGTGCTCACCATACCAGTGCCCTGGCAGTAGCCGATCTCTGGGTAGAGCCAGGCCAGGGCCCGGAGCACCCTGCGCAGGCGGGGCACCCCGATGCTGCCCATGCTGGCGAAGCAGGCGTTGCTGGGCATGGTGCGCAGCAGGTCCTTCTCAATCTGTCCGGCAGCCATTGGCACCCACAACAACAAGACCTTGTGACACCCTGGGAGGGAGGCAGACCCCAGGCGGGCTTCTCCCCCAGGAATGGGGATTCCTTGTGTTCCTGGTCAAGGTCACCCTCCTCCCTTCAGGGTCAGCTCCCAGCCAGTGTGGAGCTGGGACATCAAATCCACCTGGGAAGCTTCATGCCAGACAGAGTGAATGAGAACGTGTGGCCCAAGGCCTGGAGTCTATATTTAGAGTCTCCATCTGTTCCTAAAGTGGACCCGGGCTTGGGAACCCCATCTCCAAACACCAATGGCCTTTTGGACAATTCTTTCTGTGGCCTACAGAGGACCCAGGAAGGAGCATGTATCCTCTCCCCCACCCCCCAACAAGGGTACACTCCCAGAGCCCCAGGCAGCCTCCCTCTCTCCTGCCAGCCTCACCTGCTTGGCAGCAAGGGTCTCATCATTGGAGCTGTTCTTCACAATCTCGCGGTAGGACAGCTCGGAGTTCCTCTTCTTCTGCAGGGCCCCAGAGAGCCGCATCCACAGCTGAGGGAAGGGAGTCACAAGGGCACTCAGTCTTTCTCATGACACCTAATCATGGGGCCAAGACCCTCTCAAAACCCTGTGGGTCCCTGTGGCCACTTTACCTGTGGCCTCATGCCATGTGGGATGCCGGCCAGCACCAGGGAACGGAGCTTCTCAGAGCGGGGCAGACAGACTGCAATCTTGTCCCAGGTGAGATCCCCCACGTCGTGGTTATGGGTGAACTCCAGGTGGGCCTGCCACCGCAGCCTCTGTGGAGCATCCTCTAGCAGCGGGGAGCTCGCCAGCAGACTAGAGCCAGGCTCACCACCTTCTGCCAAGAGACAGCCGAGGGACGGCGCAGTGAGCAGAGGAGGAAGAAAAAAGCATTCTCTACTATGTGTTCTGCAAGCAGCCAGGCCTCTGTCTTCAGGAGGGTCTCAGCTTCATGGCTCTAGGCCAGCTCTCTCCCGCCAGATCCAGATTCCCACAGCTAATGGCTTTCTGACAGCTCCAGGTGATCATCTAACCTGCACCTATGATGAGCAAAGCTCTTCACTGTCTCCTCAAAGCCACTCCTACCACAGTACTACCCAGATCCAGAAATGACACCTCCATTCTCCCGATGCTCAGCCTAAACCTTGGAGTCACCTCTGGCTCCTCCCTCGCCCAGACTCCACACTCAGTCCTTTAGCAAACCCACGGCCCTTGTCCAAGCCATCGTCCTTCATCCAGATTGCTGCACTGGCCCTCCCACTGACCTCCCTGTTGCTACCCTCACCTCCCAAAGGCCGTTCTCCTCAGCAGCCACAGCAACCCTTCCAAAATGCAAGTCAGATCATGTCACACTGCTCAGAGCTGAGACTCAAAGGCAAGGGCTTTCCAGGGCTCCCTCAGCTGCTTCCTCTGGGCCATGCCCACTCTGTCCTCATCCCCTACCATTTTCCTCTTGCTCCCTCCCCTCCAATGACATGGTCTGAAAGGGCCACTTCAGGGCCTTTGCACCTCTCCTTCCCCAGCTCTGCCCATTCCCTGGCTTCCTTATATATGATTTACTGCCCCTCTTCCCTGAAGTATTTTCCCAGCCCTTCTTGCTCCACTATATTACATGCTTGTTTACGGCCCGTCTCCTTCTCTAAAATGAGAACTCCATGCAGTCGAGACCACCTTCAGTTTTGTTTAAGGGCCTGGGGTGCAGCTGTGGAGACTACAGCACCCACAGTTGGGTTCATGAGATATTTGTTGAATGAATGAGGTGAAGCTCTCCTGTGGCAGCCCAGCAATCTCTGGGTGAGCTCCATAGGCAGCCTCGTCCTTATTCACCGAAAAGCCAATCCCTCAGCCCAGCTTTCAAAAACACCAACTTTAATGACTTTACCTACAGTAAAATGCACAAATGTTAGGTGTACATTTTGGTGTATAAACAAATGTCTAAGCAGTCTCAGTTCCATGGTGTAACAGTGAACACTCTGACCCCAGTGACCCAGCCAAACAGATACTTCATCATACCAGCAAGTTCCCTGTGTCCCTCTCAAACCAAACCTTTACCCTGCAACTACCTGCCTACAGATCAGAAGAACAGGGAAAACCCTTGTCAGAATTGGAAACGTGAGTGACCTGAAGGTGATCAGTTGCAGTCAATTAAAATGTCCTAGCCACAGGTCTGGCCTGGCATCCAGTTGTCTTGGCAGATGGCCTTCCCAATAGCCCACTCAGGACCAAAAGGCCCATTTATAGTAGAAAACAACAGAAAAGGATTGAGACTCAGTTATAGAAAAGTGGTTATCCAAATACTGTAAGTTCATTATGATATTATACAGCCACTGAAAATATTCTTTTTTCTTTTCTGAGAAAGTTTCGCTCTTGTTGCCCAGGCTGGAGCGCAATGGCATGATCCCTGCTCACTGCAACCTCCACCTCCTGGGTTCAAGCGATTCTCCTGCCTCAGCCTCCCGAGTAGCTGGGATTACAGGTGTGTACCATCACACCTGGCAAATTTTGTATTTTTAGTAGAGACCGGGTTTCACCATGTTAGCCAGGCTGGTCTTGAACTCCTGGCCTCAAGTGATCCACCCACCTCAGCCTCCCAAAGTGCTGGGATTACAGGCGTGAGCCACCACGTCCAGCCTGAATTTTTCAACTTCTCTACAGTGAACACTATTGCTTTTACTATCAGGTGAGGTTCAGTAAAATTTATCTCAAAAAAAACAGAGGTTTCCCATACTTATAACAGTATCACCCTCAGATACACTCTGTCCTTAAATCTGGAACTGTGATGCATCAGAGCTCAGCCGTCACATCTGAGTAATTCCAGTCAAGGGAGCGGAGTCCTCCCCAAAGAACATCAGCAACATGACCCACAAAAGGGGCTCAATGTTACCTTCCTTGTACACACGGAAACCAAACTCATCGTAGTAGAAATCTGGTTGCTCTGCTGACTCTTCCTTCTAGAATCAGGATGAGATTGAAGTCAGTTGTCTGTACCCTAGCTGGAGGCCTCAGGTCTGAAAGATGCCACCCACAGGGTTGCCTGCTAAAATCCCACCCAGCCTTCAAGCTCAGATCAAAGGCTACTCTTCCAAAAGCCTTCTCTGGTTACCAGTCTCCTCTGAACCTTCTAGCTTCCTTGTTCTTCTCAGAGGTCAAAGATAATAAAAATCAAGGCAAGAAACATGTTTTATGCATTTGGGTCCCTATAATACCGACAGCATACTGCCACAGTGATTGACTCACACAGGCACATGGAGCTAAGATACCATCTCTGGTGGGGACCCCATAACCCTGTGTGAGATGGCCACCTCTTCCTGGGCAGCCTGCAGACCTGGGTCCCCTTCATACCGCAGTGTGGGAGCACAGCAGGCTGGTGCCTGGCTAACTGCTGTACCTGTGTATACTTGGCCAGGATCTCCTGGGGCCATATGCTCGGAGTCAGGGCTGAGAAAGGGCCACAGGCAGAAGGTGTATGGCTTCCTAAAACCAAAGAGGACCAGGAGAACAATCAAGAAAATGCAGAGGCAGGCCAGGCGCAGTGGCTCACGCCTGTAATCTCAGCACTTTGGGAGGCCGAGGTGGGCGGATCACCTGAGGTCAGGAGTTTGAGACCAGCCTAGCCAACATGGTGAAACCCATCTCTACTAAAAATACAAAATTAGCTGGGCATGGTGGCACATGCCTGTAATCCCAGCTACTTGGGAGGCTGAGGCAGGAGAATTGCTTGAACCCAGGAGGCGGAGGTTGCAGTGAGCAGGGATCATGCCATTGCGCTCCAGCCTGGGCAACGAGCGAAACTCTGTCTAAAAAAAAGGAAAAAAGAAAATGCAGAGGCAAAATTCAAGTCAGGAAATATGCTCTCCCTGTAAGAACACCAGCATTAAAGGGACTAGCCCATCTCAAGCGTTATGGGGAGGGAAGGAGCAGAATGAAAGAAACCTCTTAGAGATCAGCAAATTTCTGGAGAAGAGGGGGAAGAAACAGCAGCACGTTACAAAACATGACCAAACTTCATCTTCCAGCCTCTTTCTCCACCTGAGGAGTGCAGATCTGCAGGCTGCAGGGCCGGAGGAGGAGAGCTGGAGAGCGGAGCTGAGAAGGAAGTTTTAATAACTTTCTCAGCCAGCCAGAAGCCTTCCCTACCATCTCCACCTCTCTTATCTGGATGGTGTTTTATGGAAAACAAACAAGCCAGCTTCCACCCCTCTGGCTCCTCTGTGAGAGCTTCACACCCCGTTTCCAAGTCCGGCCCCTGCTTCTACCTGACATGGTGCTGTGGGGCTGGCAAGTCTTCTGTAGCTCCAGGCTCGGAAGTCTCCTATCCTGCTATCTTAGAGCTGGAAGGCGCCTCAGGCTTCATCTGGTCCAGAATCATCTGCCCTGTTAGAAGAGTAAAGAGGAAAGTCATTCTATTTTTATTTATTTATTTATTTTAGACAGAGTCTCGCTCGGTCACCCAGGCTGGAGTGCAGTAGTGTGATCTCGGCTCACTGCAACCTCTGCCTCCTGGGTTCAAGAGATTCTTCTGCTTCAGCCTCCCGAGTAGCTGAGACTACAGGGGTGCGCAACCACACCAGGTGATTTTTGTATTTTTAGTAGAGATGGGGTTTCACTACATTGGCCAGGCTGGTCTTGAACTCTTGACCTTGTGATCCCCCCACCTCGGCCTCCCAAAGTGTTGGGTTATAGGCATGAGCCACCACACCCAGCCTGAGGAAAGCCATTCTAAAACACCCTCTCTCCTACAAAGAGGAGCCCTTTCCACCCACACTCTGATTTTGCTAGCCTGGAGGCAGTGGGAACTGAAGTCTTAGCCATTGTTTAACAAGGGAAGGGGAAAAAAAAATCACTTTGCCCATTTTTATTTTTGTGTATTATTTTTTGAGACGGGTCTCGCTCTGTGGCCCAGGCTTGAGTGCAGTGGATCTTGGCTCACTGCAGCCTCCACCTCCTGGGCTCAAGCGATCCTCCCACGTAGCTGAGACTACAGGCATGCACCACCATGCCTGGCTAATTGTTGTATTTTTTTGTAGAGATAGGTTTTCGCCATGTTGCCCAAGCTGGTCTCGAACTCCTGGGCTCAAGCAATCAATCTGCCTGCCCTGGCCTCCCAAAGTGCTGGGATTACAGGTGTGAGCCACCATTCCCAGCAGCTATTTGTCTTTTTTTCTTTTTTGAGACAGGGTCTCACCCAGGTTGCAGTGCAGGGGCACAATCACAGCTCACTGCAGCCTTGACCTCCTAAGCTCATGGGATCCTCCCACCTTAGCCTCCCAAGTATCTGGGACTGTAGGCACATGCCACCACGCCCGGCTAATTTTTGTATTTCTTGTGGAGATAGAGTTTCACTATGTTTCCCAGGCTGGTCTCAAACTCCTAAGCTCAACAGATCCACCTGCTTCAGCCTACCAAAGTGCTGGGTTTACGAGCATGAGCCACCGCACCCAGTCAAGCCTTTTACTTGTGACCACAGAATGAAAGGCTCTCACTATGAAAGGAAGTGGAGGTAACAATGAGGAGATATGGCTGAAAGATTTCAAGACAAGTTACATTCCAGTTTTTGAAATCATATTTACCTAAACCTGGCACTGGAAAAAAATTTACTTTTGCCATTTTTCAGACAACGAGAGTTCAGAAATGACAGTTGTTAATCCTGGTCCATAGCAGAACCTATTCTCCATGCTATCTGCCATGGAATTCTGGTGTTGGGAATTCTAGTAAATTGCGAAGAATTGGGTAAGTGAGAAGCAAAAAAGAGGAAAATCAAACCATCACTTCAAAGGAGCTATGAGAAAATCCCAGTTCTCTTTAAAGACATACAAGTATGGGGACAAAAGTAGCTCCTGTGGGCAGCCCAGCTGTGGTCCCAGCCTCTGCTCCTGCCCCAGACAAACACTGGCCAAGTTTAGGATAAAGGCCAAAGCAGAACATTCCTGAACATTCCTGACCATTATAGAGGTTTGGTGCCCAGTGGGAGAGGCGCTCCCTCCTGCTTCCAGACACGCCGCTGAGAGCCAGATGGCAGAACCTGCTTCCCCAACAGGCCGGCCATCCTGGCTGGTTGGTTCTGTGTGAAGAGAATAGAATTTTAATGTCTTTCTTCAGTGTAAAATATATGTGATACAGGGTTTACCTCAGAACTATGAGCTGGATGGAGGATTACATATTTTTACATTAAAGAGACTGAGCTACAAGTTTTAAAAAGCATGTCATGTTATCATTATATCCTTACAACACATTTATTCCTTATACAAGAGAAAATAAGCCTAGAAGAGACTGATAGTTTCCAAATGGACTCCCAAAAACTCTGCCCTGCCACACCACGCAACCCCACCTTGTGAGATGATGGACACATGGCCACCAGCTAGATGGCCCTGGGAATGGAACCCAGTGCTCTATTACGCCTCCCTCTGGCTTGGAGCCTGAGATGGCATATGGCTGTGGCAGAACCACCACGTGTCCGCCTTGGGAGGCAGTGGGCTCAGCACTCATTCTCTGCACCATGATTAAAAATAAAGACATCTCAGCCGGATGTGGTGGCTCATGCCTGTAATCCCAGCACTTTGGGAGGCCGAGGTGGGTGGATCACCTGAGGTCGGGAGATTGAGAACATCCTCGCCAACATGGTGAAACCCTGTCTCTACTAAAAACACAAAAATTAGCTGGGCGTGGTGGCGTGTGCCTGTAATCCCCGCTACTTGGGAGGCTGAGGCAGGAGAATTGCTTGAACCTGGGAGGCAGAGGTTGCAGTGAGTCGAGACGGTACCACCACATTCCAGCCTGGGTGACAGAGACTCTGTCTCAAAAGAGAATCGGATGATAAACATAGAAATAGACTGTGATAACTACAGTGCTGTGAGGAAAAATAAAGCAAGGTCAAGATGTGGAGAGTCTCAGAAGAGAGGGGATTTATATCAAGTGGTCAGGAGCAGCCTTTAAGAATAAGGGTTAGGGACACCTAAGCAAAGACCAAAAGGAACTGAGGGCTCATGGCTACCTGAGGGAAAGGAGATCCAGGGGGAAGCACCAAGTTGGGAGCACATTGGGCACGTTAAAACAGCTGCAAGGCAGCCATCAGGCTGGAGGGGCTGGGGAATGAGGAGGAAACAGTGGGAGGAAACAGCCTGAACGGTGGGAGGAGATGCAGCAGGGGGCTACCAGGCCTCACAGTGTGGTGGAGATTCTGGGCTTCATGCTCAGTGAGCTGGGAAAGTAGGGGAGGGCTCTGAGCTCTCTCTGGCTGCCTTGCAGAGGAGGTGGTGGACATAGAGGAGGCTGTTGGATTAGTCAGAGTGAAAGGTATGTTGACTTTCCTGTGGTGGGAACACTGAGAAATGGTCACATTATGGATATATTTTATCTTATTTATTTTGTTAGAGACAAGGTCCCTCTATGTTGCCCAGCTGGTCTTGAATTCCTGAGCTTAAGTGATCCTCCTGCCTCGGCCTCCCAAAGTGCTGTGATTACAGGCGTGAGCCACCACACCTGGCCAGATTCTGGATAGAAAGAGTCTGCAGGGTTTAGCTCTTTAATGCCACACACACATATAAATGTATGTAATGTATATATAAACATGCCACTTCTCCCACTGGCTACAGAACCCAGCCGGATGTGCACTGTGAAGCTGGGTGGGCAGGTTTTTCCTGCCTCTGGTCGCTATGGAAACCTTCCTGAAAGCAGCCATCTGGGAGTTGGCAGGAGCAGCCCAGAGAGTCAGCCACGTCAGGGTGGCTGCCCTCCTGTTGTCACAGGAGTACTGAGAGGCAGAAACTTGAAAAACAGGATTGATTTAGGTACCTTTGAGGAGCTCTGGAAGGAATTTTTCAAAATTAAATGTACATACTCCCTAGTTTGCTAATCCTACAATTTCCTATAAGGCAAATTTTGTTTAGAAAGCACAGAAGGCCAGATCTCACTATAAACCCTGTTTTCCCACATCTGTGGGGAGGGGCAGAAAAGGTTCTGTTCATTTCCTGTGGTCTCTTCACATAGATCAGAGGGATATGGTCCCCCATTATCTCTGCTCCTACTACCCTGTCCGGTGTCCTATTTTCTTCACAACACAGCATGGTCGCTACCACTACACAGATGATTTTCTACAGACATTTACCACGGAACATGAAAGCTGTAAGCAACATAAGCAAAAATACTTCTAAGAGGCCTCTGAGACGCTGAAGACTGCATTTCCTCTGTGAGGAGGGAAGAGGACACTGGAAGCTGTCAGTAAAAACTCACCTAGACAGAGAAGCACAAAGTCGGGAAAGTCCAAGAAAGGCTGGAGTAAAAAAAGATTAATGTGGCTACTATAGATGCTAAGAAAGGATAAAATCAGACAATAAATGCTCAAAGAAACATGAACATTTTTTGGAAAAGGAAAAAATATATGAATAGCTTTTTCAAGGTAAGGGTACAAAATAATTGGTTTTCTTCCTGGTTTTTCTCCTTGACTTCTATTCTTCAGCACACCTCTAAAATGTATGTGGGCTCCAATGTGGCCGCTATGTGGGCAGACAGCTTGTAGAGAGACAAGAGTGGATGCTGGGAGGCAAGAGTGGCGTGCAGGGGAAAGATTATGGAGAATGAGTCCAAAGTGACAGTGGAGACAAAGAGAAGTAATAGATTCAAGACACAATCAGAGGCAGAATCAACAGGCCTTGCCACACAGTTGGATGTGGGGAGAACGGGAGTGACCACAGGCAAGGCCTAGGTTTCCGGTCTGAACTCCTGGGCTTCTAATGATGCCATTTCCTAATATGAGAGAAATGGGAACAAAACAGGTTTGGGGAGGGGGGAAGTTAAGAGTTATCGGGCAGGGGCTGGGCATGGTGCCTCACGCCTGTAATCCCAGCAGTGTGGGAGGCCGAGGTAGGCGGATCACCTGAGGTCAGGCGTTCGAGACCAACCTGGCCAACATGGTGAAACCCCGTCTCCAATAAAAATACAAAAATTAGCCAGGCATGGTCACAGGCACCTGTAATCCCAGCTACCTGGGAGGCTGAGGCAGGAAAATCGCTTCAGCCCGGGAGGTGGGGGTTGTAGTGAGCTGAGATTGTGCCACTGCACTCCAGCCTGGGTGACAGAGTTAGACCCTGTCTAAAAAAAAAAAGAGTTACAGGGTAATTTAAATGCTCATTTAGAAATTCAAGTGGAGCTGTTAAGTAGGTGACTGCATCTATATATCTATGTTTACACGGAGATGTCAGAGGTAGAAATGTAAATCTGGGAGTTTTTCATTCATCTATCCAACCAACAAAAAATTTTTTTTGCAACTACTGTGTACCAAACACTGTTCCATGTGTTAGAGATATAGCAGTAAAACAAGATGGACAAAGTTCCTGCTTTCACGAACCTGCAATTTCTTCATCTGTAAAATGGAAATA